TTTCCATCGGACTTTGTTTCCTGTATTGTGAATGACACTATTTTTGGTGTGTCTATGCAGGAGTTAAAGCCCTGAAGAATTATGTCAAGTGAGGCCAAAACCGAAGACACTTGTCAGGAGGATCAATGTTAATTGGACTTCGGATATTGCAGAAGGAATGGCTATTCTCTATGGGGTAAGACTAGTGAAGGATAAAGAAATTGGCCCGATTGTGGTAGAGTCCGACTGTAAAAAGGTGATCGAGATACTGAAACAGGGGGAAATATGCCAAACTGAACTGGAGGTCATTTGTTCGGATATGTTGAAGGAGGATTTGTATGCTTTGTTGTGGTCCCAAGCTCATGTGTTTGCTCATCTAGTTTCTGGTTCTGAGGAAACTCATTTTGATTGTAATGGTCTACCACAAAGGGTAGCTGACGTTGTAGCCTTTGAGGCAGTTGATTCTTGATTTTAATGAATCCTTTGGTTTCTAAAAAAAAAAAAACTTTATTCAGTAGGCACGGTTGTTGCTTTTACGTACTAGGTTGTTCTGATTAAATATAAGCCATGAAAAGTATTTAATTAAATTATACTTTTGGATTTTCGTAAACAAGGAATTCCTTGTTTAGCATTTAGTACGTTTACCTCCAATATTTGGAATTTTCCTCAAAATTTGGAGAGGTCTGCCTCCAAAATTTATCGCATTCGCAACCAAAATTTAAAATATTAAACGTTTCCTCTTAGTTATTGGCGGGTAAATATGAAATTGAATTGTACGTTTCCAATTTTAAAAAAATACAAAATATTAGAAGCTCCCTCCAATTTTTTTATTTTCTGTAGGAGTTTTACTTTCCCTACAAAATTGGAGTGCCAATGCGTCTGAAATTATCACAAACTAAAATTAAAATAGTAAAATTTTGTTAATAGATATTGGCGGTTAAAGAGGGAATTGAAGTGTACTTTTCATCCGTTGAAAACAATAAATTGTATTTATGGTATTAAAAATTTTCTGTTGAAAATTTTTACTTTCCCTCCGTTTTATTTTTGATGAATATTCCCTCCAAATTTCGAGTGTTATGTCGCGTAAATTTATCACAAACGTAAAGTTATTTGTGGATAGAAAGGAAATTGAAAAGGGACTCGCTTAAATTCATGCTTCCCTGTTTAGTTGCTAGAAATAAAATTCAAATCATAAAAATTTTCCCTCTTTATTTTTTCAGAAACGAGACCCGCTTCTCTCACCATTGACCTTCTGGCGTCGGAGGAATTGCAATTGAGAAGCAGCAGGGTCATTTTGTTCATTTCGTGGATTTGTGTTGCCTAATCGAGCGATAAGGGATTTGACGGTTTTTAGAATTGGGACACGTTTGGGGTGTTTGGTTATATTCCGTTCGCAGTGGCCCGGTGGGGTGGGCATCGGTCGATTCGGTCCAAGATCAGACCAAACTATCGTCGGACGCGACCAAAATTTCTTCTAAATCAAGGACCAAAGTCGAATAGTTATAAATTTGATTCGGTTTGGATAAAACCATATATGGCTCGATTCGGTCTGGACCATCCCATTGGAGACTAATCTTTCATTCGAATAAAATCACTCTTAAAGGACAACACAAGAATTAAAAACATGTAACTACACGAAAAGAAGTAATAAAAATATCCCAATTTAAATACTCCACAATTATTAAAAACCACATGTTCCAAAATATTATGCAAAAAGCTAAACGAGAACTAAGGGTAATTAGCATAAATGGTCACAAACCTTTGCACTTAGTACAAAACAGTCACAAACCTTTAATTTGTAACCATTTGATAACAAAACTTTTTCACTTGTAACAAAACGGTCACAAATTAAACAGTGTGACCATTTCATAACAGTTCAAACTTTTGTTACCGTGTCGTTGCAAATTAGACTTTTGGTGACTGTTTTGTACAAATTAAGTTCAAAAGTTTGAACACTCAATCACCGTTACAATTCACTCTAGTTGTATGGTGGTTTTGTTAATGTATGTGAATGATATTATGTTGTTTAGGATGACAATGAGAGAATTCAATGGCTCACAAACGGGTTCCAGACTGCTTTTTAGTTGAAAAAACTATGTCTACTTTCTTACTTTCTTGGTATCGAAATTGAAAAGTCAACTGAGGCCATTCTTATTCGGCAAAGCAAATATGTCGATGAACACATGACTTGACATCTTATATATCGTTCAAGTGGTTAGTCTCATATACTTAACGAACAAACTACCCGCCTCAAAACATGACAAACATTTAATTTGTAACGATTCGGTAACAAACCTTTACACTTAAAACAAAACGGTCATAAATTAAATAGCGGAGACCATTTTATACAATTTCAAAGTTTTGTTACCGTATTGTTACAAATTAAAGGTTTGTGACCATTTTGTACTAAGTGCAAAGGTTTGTTACCATTTATGCTAATTACCCCGAGAACTACTTAACTAACTAAAAGACAAAAGTCTATTTCTTCAATCTCAAAGGTAGTCTAACTAATTGTCTCTCCAATCTTCTATTTTCATTTCTAACTAATTGTCTCTCCAAACTACCTAACTAATTGTCTCTCCAAACTACTTAACTAATTGTCTCTCCAATCTTCCATTTTCATTATCTCAATCAACTTCACTAATGGACAACACTATATTATGTTGTTTACAATCAGTCAAATAATCTATAATTGTAAATGTTATATACGAAATTAATTTCATATTTTAATATTGAAAATATGATAAATTTGATTTGTGGTGAATTGAAAAACGAAATAACCATCCATTCTCTAATTTTTCATTACAAAAATGTGTAAAAAAAAGTGTGCATAATGGTAGCGGCAAAATGCAACGTAAAAAGAAAATTCAAAATTTTTAAAATTTGGTTTTTACCTTCTCAGAATAGCGCTTTTTTCTGCCAAAAATTTGAGTGTCTTTTGAACAAGATCTGGTTCGTCCCCCAGAAACGTTTCCTTCATTCTGACTCCCCCATTCTCATTTTGTCTTGCATGTCGTCAATCAGAGAGAGAGAGAGAGAGAGAGAGAGATAGAGAGAGAGAGGCGATGGTGGTTCCGCGTTGCTGCCGACGAGTAGAGAGAAAGAGAGAGTTGACGATTCCAATCATTCCATCGACTGGCGACGTCGATTCCGCGTTGCTGCCGACGAGTAGAAAGAGAGAGAGCCGACGATTCCATCGATTGGCGACAGCGTTTCCGCGTAGCTGCCGACGAGTTGCTCGATTGATGAAACCTGGTGGATTTTGGTTTGTTCCTCAGGGTTGTGTTTGGCGAAGATGTTCCAACTGGAAGATAAAGAGTTAGTGAAATCTCGCTTTTCCTTCTCCTTTTCCTTCCCCGAATTTTTGGTTTCCGTTTTCGGTTCTTTGATTTCCTCTTTGTTTGGCACGAGATGCATACAAAACTAATATGGATTGGTAAGAGCGGCAACTATGGTCCCATTCCCTCGGATTAAAAAGGCCCCCTAAGAAACGATTGCAGGTAGTTGCTATGCAATTTTTCTTTTCGTTTCTTTGAGTTCCTTTTCAAATCAGGACATGACTGGACACTCCCCAATTACTGAGTCCAAACTTTGGGTTTCTGACCTTGTTTCTTTTATTTCATTTTGTTTTCATGTTAATTTGAGGCTTGCAAATCGGGGGAGGAGGAACTTGAAGGAACTTCGAGGAGATAAGGTACTTCGAGGAGGCCATGAATGGGAGCAGCACAAGCAGGGTACTGGGCATCGAAAACAGGTATCTAAGCTTTGAGTGTTTGTTGACAGATCTGGCCTTTGTTGATAGATGGGTTCTAAACAGAACATAAAAGCCATCTAAATAGAACATAAAAGTTCTTCACATCAAGCTAATGATTGCATTGTTTAATTATACCGGGTTGTTTAACTGATTTTAGTATGAGCTCATGTTGTGAACTGTTTCTCTTGTCTGGACAATTGCATTCAGCTTCCTAGGTCATGTGGAATGCTCTACATAGTTTCAGATAGTAACTTGAGCAATGGTTGCTTAACTTCAGATTCAATAAATAGTATATGATGGATGAATATGGAATTGGGTTTTGTAGTATAGACCAAACACCTCCAATATTTCAATTGTGTTGCTGGAACGTTTGGGTCTTGTTTTCTATATTTCCAAAGAATATTTTCTTAATTAGTGATTTTGCATTAGGCTGTTGACCATACACTGGACTACTAAAGAAGCTCCTGCCCCTGATGGTAGCTTGAGAAGAGTACATGCAACATAGGAATTTTGGTTCACAGTTTGGAATGTCTTCTTTGCAACTTAGTCGAGATGCCTCTGCTACCGTGCGTATTTTTTCTTGATTCTTTGCTATCTGTTTCCTTTTGCAGTCTCTTCCTGAACTAGCAACGCTTGTGCTATCCTTTTGAGTCATGCAAATTTCGTCTGCATTTTCATCAGGGAGCAGCTCGTGGTGTTACCAAACAAAATACGGATTTGGAGATTGAGTCAGTTGAGGCCTCAAGGAAATCTGAAGTGGACAAATTGAAAAAGCACTTCAGACTGGAGGTAAATTACTCATTTCCAATGTCACAGTTACAATTTTAGGCGGCTTTACTGGTTAGATACATGAATGGCTTTCCATATATTTGGCTTCAACATCTGTTTCAAAGAACTACCTGTTCTTATGTTGTCAGTTTATGGAGGAGCAACCCGTGAGGCATTAGCTAGCCAGGTCTACTTCACACACACACACACACACACACACACACACACACACACACACACACACACACACACACACACACACACACACACAAAAACAAAGAAGAAAAGCCAGGTATATCCATTCTATTGCAAACAGTTCATGTCCCGCAATGTACCCTTCGTCCAACAAAAATATGAAGTGTCGATGGAGTTTACTTTTGTGAAATATACCAAGCTAAAAGATTTTGTTCCCTAAAATCAATAATGAAATTGTAAACTCAATAAAAAGTGGTCATTGCTTTCCATGGGCGTTTCAACTTCTTGCTATGGAAGTGCTAATGACCTTCATTTGTTTTTCTTAATGCTTCTGTTCTTTCCACCACGGGTTCTAGTCTATTGTTGTTTCTGTAGCTGACCAAAATAATATTAAAGATGTAACTTCCAACACAAAGAATCATCTAATCTTGCTGGTTAAATCATTAGTGTGATTGGAAAAGTACTAGTTGATGTTCATCGCCTGGACGATCATCATGCCGACTAGTACTCCCAGCACTATGTCTTGTATGCTTCTTAGCTCACCTCTCTGCTCCCTTCTCTTGTTGACTAGTATTGCTCCTAGTACGTGCCCCGATATGTTAGAGGGAAAATAAACTCTTAAGCTAATAGCCATTTCTAACAAATCGATAATTTAGTGAATAAACAAATGATATATAACCTTCTGTGGTGGCTGACTTTTTCCTATGGGCTCTCCTGTAGTATTATGCCTGCTCGTTCGTTGCTTCTGGTAAAAACAAAATAACAACTGTAGGTTATTAACTCTAATAACTATATCAAGAACACATAATCAGAGATGCTAATTACCTTTGGGGGTTGACCACCTTGGTCATCATCTCCATCATCATCGGCTCCATCTTCTCCGTCTTCCCCATCATCGTTCCCATCATTGTCCATATCATCGTCGTCATCCTCCTCATTAGATTGAGATTCTACCATGTCGGCTGGGGGGTTAGTACAAGTGCTCCTATAATGCCCATTCCTTAGCCCGCAGTTCCCACACTTTTTTTTTCTTAAGTTGTTTTTCCCTTTTACTTTCCTACAACCCTTAAACCTCACTTGATTTGGGTTCAATACATCTTCGAACTTGTCTGGTATGACAAACCTTTCTCTCTCGGCGGGAATTTTCTTTACCATCTCCAACTTGTTACACGCTGTGGTCAACTCATCTTGAGCCATTCGATAAGAGAGAGGAGTGTCTGCTCCTAATAAGCAGAATCGTTGAGCCATGAACTGTAGTGACTCGTACCTAATGCTGAAACTGCTGTCATCCCCCAATGTACTTGGTTCTGGCAGAGTGTTTAGGGACTTTGGGTTCTTCGAGCAACGTCTGAGTACCAGTTTTTCAGGAATAGTCTTCACTTTTTCTTCTTTGAGAACAAAGATCATATGAACGCAGGGTATCCCAATACTCTTAAACTTTTGACAACTGCACTCCATATTGCTTGTTTCAATGTTGTATTTCACCTCTATGACCTTCTCTTTGTTGAACATGGTAACAGTGTAGGTGTGTAGGTTCCCCTCTTCAGTTTGGTTACCCTTAATGACTCCATTAACCTCCTCCAACTCATTTTTTAACAAAAGAAATGCAGCCTTTGAGAAAAGCTTTGTTGCACTTTGCTCGAGGGGATTTAGGATTGAATTCTTTATTGGAACTACACCATAATTAGACTCAAAATCTAATCTAATCTCTGTCTCTCTCATGTCCTTGAGGCACGGGTCGTATTGAGTGAAAAGGTCAAGCAAACAGAACCTCTCATTTTCATACCTTGCAACAACCGCATTTATGCTTTCACATCTTGATGTGGTTGTCAACCCAGCAAAGAAATGTGAGCGCAAGTATGTGTCCGCCCATTCGTTGCGTCTCCCAAATAGGTTTTTCGACACCCATTGGTTGTTCTGGAGTTCGCATTCCTCTACCAATGCATTCCATTTCTCCTCAAATTCTTCTGGCTCGTACTCAGCAGTTACTAAATCTTCCATCGGGGTTCAAAGTCGGGTCAATTCTTCACCCTGCCAGTGATATTCTTGGACAAATGTCATGCATATGGCCGGTGTGTTGCATTTGGAAACACATTAGCAATAGCTTTCCTCATTGCTTTATCCCCATCCGTGACAACTGTACGTAGCGGAATGTCCCCCAACATTTCCTTCACTATCTTCAACACCCAAATATAGGTTTCGTCAGTCTCATTGGGCAACAGTGCACTCCCGAATAAGCAAGTTTTGAAGTGATGGTTGATACCTACAATGTCAAACAGAAACTCGGAAAAATCAGAATCTTTTGACCATCAAGAGAAAAGCTAAAATTGTGAGGAATATGTAAACAATGGTAGAGTTCATATAATCAGAAACTTGTGTTACTTTTGTTTAATGTTTTCAAACCCCATGTTCAAGACATTTTTACATTAAATCACAAACTAGTAGTTGTTGTTTATTGCTAGATAGGAATTAGAAATAGCTAGCAGCCTCCACAATCCTCGAATAAAAAAAGAAGCGAATCATAAGTAAAAGAGGAAGGCTCAAAACCCACACATTGGAAAAGTTATTCGAAGTTTGTATCTTAATTAGCAATTTATGTTGCTATTTTCTAGATGCCATTATGTGTCTTCAAACAACAAAGCAAAGGATAATACTTAGAGGGCATACTAGGATGGCGTACCTGTAAAAATTACCAGTGGCATATTGTAAATGTTTTTTAGGTACGTTGTGTCAAATGCGAGCAACTCTCCAAAACACGAAATGTCGGCTCTGCAAATGATGTCAGCCCAAAATAAAAAATGGATCATTTTTTCCTCATTAGTAGTGTATCGGAGGAGGAAGTGTGGGTCTGTGATTTTCTTTGATTCTAGATAGGCGAGTGCAGTTGCTGCATCACCCTCGCTGATTCTCTCAGCGCGGTCTTTGGTGCTGAAATTTAAGCCATCTTTAACTGTATACCCAAGTTTTTCATGCCCTCCAGCACAATGCACAGCAAGCTTAATGGCCTGAGAAGGTTTCATTCCGACATCCTTTTTAAATCGGAGGTCTACCTTGTCTGCTTCTGTTAATCCTCGATGCGACCTCAAGTAATGTACCTGATTCTGCCTAACTGGGTCATGGGTGTGTTGTGGTTTAAATATATTAGCAACCCACTTATTGTTTTTCTTGTTCAAGCTCACACGAAACCTATCCCTGCACTGAAATCTGATCTCCATAAGCGACTCCCTCTTTTGTGGACCTTTATGTGCTTCTCTAACTCCCTCACAAGAACACACGAAGGCTGCACTTGTTACCTCTCCCTTGACGTTCTTAACCTTCCTTGAGCGACGGACAGAAAACCCCCAACTCTTAGCATACTTGTTGTAGAACGTATATGCATCCTCAAAATCATTGAATTCCTAACCGATAAAAGGAGAATTTTGAATAACGTTTGTTTCATCCTCCTGTACAGTAGGACCATCATTGTCAGAGGTCATTGTTTCTGGTATGATTTCAACATCGTTGTCTTCATTGTTGTTGATATTATCTCCCTCTTCCTCCATTGGTGTGCCGTCTTTTTGCTGTTTGTGGGGAGGGGCTGAATCGGGAGCAAAGCAGGAGAGAGGTCTTTTTGTTGTTGTTGTTAACCTAATTCGTTTTTCACGTGTTATTAGTTTTTTCTATTTTTCCCCGTCATGGTGTCCAGTTTTTTTTTCATTTTAGTACTTTAATTTTTTATTATATTGTTTCCCGTTATGGTTACTAGTTGGATAAAGAATGCAGCTAATTAGTTGGATAAAGAATGCAACTAATAAAGAATACTTGAATTACCGGGGAAAAAATTAATAAAGAATGCTTGCGCGTGATATATGGTAGATTCATCTTCCAAATAGGTGATACAGACTGCTTCCATGTTAATTATTACCCGTATAAAATATTATTTTTCTTTTCTATGTGGAGGTTAATGAGGAAGATAAAGTTTCCAGTATCCTTATAGAGAAAAACACTCACCCGTTGGCCCTATTTTAAGATGCTAACTCCTTTTCTGCATTCACCAGGAGCTCATTTAGGATAGCAGTACAGGAGCTCGGTTAGGGGACAGAAACCAGGAGCAATATGCAGAATGATAAGGATGGCAGGATGATGACAAAACGCAAGACCAGAAGTTCTTCCAAATTAATGGTTCGTCAATTTGCATTCTTTTTCCCCCCTTTTCTCCATCGTTGGCAGGTTATTCTTCCAAACTAAATAAGGCATTGTGTTTTTATTGCGATGAATTCTTTGCTGGAGAAGGATGAATCTTGAGGAAAGAAAGATAGAACTAAAGATGGTGAGATCCAAATTGATGGTGATTTGCAGGCAGATTGGAATGACTTAGTTTGGAAAGGCCGTACCAGATTTTCTTACTTACAATTCGCCAAGAAGGTATACTAATCTAGCCCACCAATTTTCCCCTCTTAGAGCAAAATCAATTGTTTTTATCCTTATGTTTCGTCTTCTATTGTAGGGTGAAACAAAGTTTACACTTCCAACACATCTCGAGTACACTAGAGAGGAAGTGAACCTTGCCCACTACATATTTGCGAAGGATATTCCACAAAAGAAAGTCCTAGTCGAAACCATGATGCAATCCTATACACGAAAGGTGTTGAGGTCCCTCTGCCCTAAGTCTATTGTCGATGATGATGTAATTATAGCCATGGCTTGCCAATTGAACCTGGAGGAAGTTTGGAGGGATGTTGGAGATGGAAGAGTAGTCTATTATCTGCCTGCTGAACTACAAGTATAGTCCCATTTACTTTGTATATTTATTTTAGGTGCAATATTCCGTTTCTCCTATTAAATAGGATGAATGTTTTATCTTCTATTTTAAATTAACCATGATCAGGAAATGGTAATTAACTATAGCATGACATCAAAAAAAGCTCTAGAGTGTTACGGTGCAAATTTCTTGGCAAGAGCTCACACGTGCAGAAATGTTTCTTCTTAACAATTCCTTTCTTGTTTCATTGAAATATTCCTCAATTACTGTTTCTAGCTACTTTTTGAATTGGATATGCGAATAAATTAGATGTTCCATCAAGCTTTTGATATTTCTGTAAATTGTATTTTACAATGCTCAGCTGGGTTTGGTCTTTCTCGTCGTTATTTAGGTGTGTCTGCCCATGAAATATGCAATGGACGGTGATGCACTTCACTGGTATTTAGCTGTCATCACGGCAAACAAGTCCATCTATTGGATTTGTATCCTTCTAAAAAGCGCCAAAGATCTCGTAGAAAAGCAGTAGTAACTATGGTATGGTTTGACCTCCTTATCTGAATACAGTTATATCTCTAAATTGATTTGTGTTTTCATCTATTTCAAATAAAGTGATTACTGCTTATGTAGATCGAATTTTTTTATGGCTTGTTTGAGGATCTTTATCGGCAAGTGGAACCAACACTTGATCCACCTGTGGCGGAACAATTTTCTTTGACAATTCCTTCAATTCCCAAACAACGTCACGAGTAAGAATCGTTCGCTGTGAATAAATTAGAAACATACTTAGATACCCACAACTCATATGCTGCATCTTATTTATGTAGGTCTGATAGTGGGGTTTGGGTGTGCTCATGGATGATGGGTGAATCTTGGGATGCTTCTTATAAGATATGGGTAAGCGAGAATTCTCCTACTTGGCCTTGAAGAAAACAACCTTTCGAAACAGCTACTAAGCCTCATTGTCATTGTCACACTGTTGCAGCCATGCAGAGATATAAGGAGAATGCAACTAGCTTTGTATCTGGTCCAACAACCTACAAATTACATAATACATGTCGTCATCGAGGAAGCAAATAGGAATGCATCGAGATTTGTTGCCCAGACTCGTAGGTACAAGGAAGAAAGCCAAAAGAGCGTAATCCAGAACTAGAAGATTCATAGGGAGATAGTGGTTCATTTCTCCTGCAGTAGTATATTCTGGATATTGGTTCCTGCAAACGTTTATGAATTTTTTGGTTGATTAGTTCTCCTGCCAGTACTCTAGTTTTGTTTCCCTTTTCATTTTCGTTGAGAACCAAAACAATACCCTTGAATTGTTTGAATTGTCTGCTTGTCTCGTTCCCTTTTCATGTTTGTTGAGAACCAAAACAATACCCTTGAATTGTTTGACTTGTCTGTCCACGTGTAAATCATCTGCCAATACTACCAGTCCAAAAATGCCTTTCTTTGGTGAGATCCCAGAGCCCAAGAGGCACAAATTGATCAACCAATACTTTCCTTTTTTGAGTGTGAATCCGTGTTTGATATGGATTCAAGTTTCAGTGCTTTTTTGTAATGAATCGGTCGTTGTATCGAAGCCATTCAACTTAAGGGTCATTGAAACTCTTTGACTTTGTGGAGATATTTAGTTGTCCTGCTATGATTTAAAGACAAATTAGTTGTAGCCGACTTTAAGCTACAAGGTCTAGTTGGAGAAGATACTATATATACATTATCAATCTACCACTATCTCTACCACTATGTCGATACGATCCAGCTCTGAGCAACTAAAAACACTTGTTATTGGGTTAAAATTTTGTTATTGAAGATATTTGTTGGATCCAACATGGTTAGGTTTGCTCCGATGAACGCATACATCTCTGGCGTCCTCCGGTGGCAAGATATGAGATATCCAAAGGCCAAAGCCAAGAATTGGCACGTTTTTTGGGCCGAAATAAAGATAAACAAAAAAGGCCACTGACCAGACGAAAGGTCAAAGTCGTCTTCTTCTATACAATCCCAGTCCCTTCAATCCCATAATGAAATCACGGCAGTTAAGGCTCAGCCTAGGCGTCTTCTTTAAGCCTTATCTTAGCTGAACAAGCATCAGGAACAAAGCCGCAAAAACGTGAACCAACATTCGGATTTAAGAAAAAATAAAGGTAAACACCAAAACCAATCTAAAATGAATTCAATTGGGATCAAAGTGATAGTAAAACCGACCGACTACCAATAAAAGTATAAAACCGACCGACTACCAATAAAAAAAACAACTACTTTTCTAAAAATGAATCAAATAAACTCTTTTGGCATTTTGAGCTGATTTTCCCCTTGAAATGTCTTTCATAAACGGCCCTTGCTTCAGCAATAATTTCAGGGCGCCTTGTATTTGAGAGATATTTGACTAAACTTATGGCCAAGGATAGTCGACCTCTATTACTACAAACCTGCACCAAATTTAGAACATTAATCTTAATATGTTGATTTGGATTTGATAGTGTAGAATCTCACGTGGATGGAATCATATTTAGAAGGAAAGGATTTTATTATACCACCATATACGAATTATTATCAGCCTCTTCGTGCAACATCCACTGATAGACGTAAAACCCGCACTCATAGCTACATGGAAAAATAGCATTTATTATTGAAAATAAGATTGTGAATCGAAATGAAATAATCAAAATACTCAAAGAAATACTAACTCATCAATTTGCTTAGAAACGTATGGAGGACTTATGATTTGGAACTTATGCACTTTGGGCACTTCATAGGTTGATGGCTTGTCTGGAAATTCTTGAAGCATCTTTTAAAAGAATTTCAACTGTAACAACAAACTTAACCACGTAACTATTACAGTACAAAAATTAAAAAAGAAAAGAAAATTGAGTTACTAAATTTACACGAAGGGAATAGTTTGATCATCCACCATTCCGTGCACCCTTTTCCTATAATTTTCCAGCAAACCCAAATCATTAGGCAAAGAGTCCACTACATGCACTACCTTTCGTTCCATGAAAGCCACAATAAGAAACCAATGGCAGTTCTCATCATTCATTGGCAAATATATATGAAATAAATAAACAAGTAAATGATGACGAAAGAATGAATGGACTATACACTAAAGGGCAAAACATTAAAAGAATAGGGAACTCTGGAAAATTTACTAATATTATTACACCATACCTTGGTGCATTCAAA